CTCAGACAGATGATTTTGTAAAAATTTTAGATTCAGTCTGTTGTATTGGTGCCATCATCTGCTGATTGGTAGAACTTTGCTAGCTTCTCTAAGCACCTGAGGGAGGCAGAGCTTTCCTTGGACACACTCAGGTGAGAACACACAGCTGGAAGTCATAATGCTGAGGGCAACAATTTACATTTTATTCCCAAACTTTTTCACTCCTTTCTCTTCATATCCAAACATATTTGAGTGAAATCCCATTATTTACACATTGGGTTCAGTGTGGCATGGGCCTCTATAGCAGGTGCTGTGTGGGTTTATAGGAATTGGAGTCCATTTATCCGGAAGCACATTTGTGATGTCAGATACATTTGGTCGAAAATGCCTGACTGCTAAACCCACATTCATCTATTATGTTAGCAGACAGAGTTAGACTTTTTCACATGCATCTAAGGCTCATTCACTTCTTCACATACTTTATATGACTGTTTTTAAAGCTTTGACACAGCTTTCACACTGTCTGGGAGTAAATTTGATAGACAAAAGAAGTTAGGCATTCAGACTAAGCAGAATGTTGGTGACCTCTGTTCACTATGTTCTCCAGCATCAGCTGGCACTGACCTGTGATTTCATTTCTTCATTTAAGTTGAGCTCCCATCAATTCCAGGACAATATAGCTGACAGTTGGCTGCAAAATATTTAGCAATTAAAAGGGATGACCGGATTTATTGCAAAGTTGGTGTCATAATGGATCACATAAGAATTAAATAGCTGAAATGAGAATCCATTCATTCAAAAAAGTTTATAAAAGCAAGTTGCATGCCTAGGTGCTAATTTTTATTTACCATAAGCTTAAATACAATCATTTGGAGGGGAAACCAAATGATTTGAACCATCAAATCAGGTGTTTAATGGGAGATAGAATTAATCAATAAATGAAACTAGTCAGCACCACCTGAAATCATGTGGTAATGTTATGATGATTTATTTCTATTCCATTTATTTATTATTTTACATTTTTTTGAAGGGGGATCTAAAATACACCATCAACTGCTCCTTTAATCCTAAAAAAATATAGATTCCTTAGGAGCTTTTAATCAGCTTTTTGTATGACGTTTGGCTCCTTTTTAAAAAGTTTTTTTTTTTTTGAAAATCGGACAACAAGCTGAAACAGTAAGTTTTTAGTTTAAACCAAAACACCTGTATATGTATATCCTAATCAATTATTAGAGTACTATATTTGTTCAATATTATACTGTGCACTGTGATTATAAAGAGATTATTATGAGTGCTTTTATTATTATTAAGGATTATACTGTGATAATGACGGTTATGATCTATAGTCTATAGTGAAAACTTGTTGCATATTTATTTACAAAAAAGGGTATAGTTATTATTGAGTATTAATAATCAATATACTTTTAATGTGGGCTATATAGATCTTTGTTCTTATCAAGCATAATGTTTTGTGTCAAGACTTTTTGTCAAGTTACAGTGAATATCTAACCCTGAAAGGTTTTGGACAGGATTAGCTCTTTTAAGCCTCTTCCAAATCTCTTTTTTTATTATAATGTTTATTATTATTATTATTATTATTTATGCCAATGTGATAATTTTTTTTCCCCTTTCAGGTTGGAATAAAAATATATATATATAAAAAAAAACAGAAAGTAAATTAACATTTCATATCAGGGATGTTTGGAGATCAAAACAGATTTAATAATAATAAAAAAAAGGTTTTAAGAAGGAAAATAATTATAAGTTTTTTAACTATTGTAAACAAATTTCGATAATTTGTTTTGTTTGCTTTTTTATTGGTCTTTGTATTGTAATGACAGCAATGCACCAGCAGAGAGGGTAATCTGACTACAAAAACATTCATTCCTTAACAGAAGTTTGTAAATCATATTCCTGTGGGTGATTTTTACTTCAATCTGATCAGAACATTGTTGCACAGATATACATGTTCTCTAAAAGCAATAATGAGAAAAGGGAGAATTCTAAAGAGCAGTTTCTGTGTGAGATTCATGTATTAATGTCTCCTTTCAGATTAATTTGTTTTAGTCCTCTGAAAAATCTCTGCAGGAAAATGCTGGGTTTGAACACAGCAGGCCAAACATTGATGCCAATACAGAAAGATTTGGTATAAATAGAACTATGGACCAGTTTCACAACTATTGTTCCAATGCGTTATCCACAGAATATTACACATAGATAGGATGTTAGTTGATGTTTAACTAGTTTATCGCTCCTGGTTTCCTGATGTATTGCAATAATCCAGATAAAAATAAAAAAAAATCCAAAAAGATACACTTTTTTTATTTTCTCTGACATTAAAAAAAATAGAATCTGAATCTAAACCTGAACAAATGTTTTCAGTTGATGTATTGATTGAGTCCAGCATCGTTACTCTGGCAGCCTTGATATTCCAAACTAGGAATTCTTTTCAGTATTTTTCTCCTCTTAAATTTGCTTGGAATCAGTTTAACCCTTTATAAGGCAAGTTTGCATTTTGGATCACGTGCATACCCCTTACAATGGACCCCCCCCCCACCCTCCAATAACATTATTGGCTTGAAATGTTGATTTTCTAAGTATTTCACAGAGTACCCTATAAAGCGTTAAGATAAATTAGGACAGCATGGCTTCACTTCATTGCACCTTGGATTAAAGGGATCATTTTAATCAAATCAAGAAACTAAATATAAAAAAGAGAACAAATCCCTGATGTTTCAAAAAATGTAAGTAACCTACAGATGAAACGGGGTTCGATGATGAGTGTCAAGTGGATGAGGAGGTTTGATGGAGGACCCAAATGCAGACACTGAAGCTGAAGTGGTTTCCTGAAGATTTAGTAACAAAAAATGTAACAGAAGCAAAAATCCAAAAACATAAATCCACAAAAACTGAAAAACAGGAATACTCACAACAAGGGGGCAAAGAAATGATGACAAACAAGCCAATAGTGACTGAATAGGAGGGTTAATGGGAGAGAGAAACAAAGAGGCAAAGGCAACAGGCAAGGGAAATGTATTTGTATAGCACAATTCAGTACAAAGACGATGCAAATTCTTTACATGATTAAAATATAGTAAAATAAAACAGAAGCAAAGCAAGTAGGACAAAAAAAAATAAAATAAAACAAAAAATGCAGAAACAAAAAAGAATATTAAAAAAGTTGGAATAAAGAAAATAAAAAAGTTGAACTAATGATGTTTCAGTTGAACTGTTTAACTAGAAAAGATCAGGCTAATTGGCAGATTGGGAGCAGGTGTGAACAGAGGAGACAAGAAGGGAGCTAAGGAAAAGGAGACCGACACAAGAGGGCAATCAGGAAATATGCAAAAAAAACTAGACCTCAAAAATTTAAATAAGACCAATAAAAAACTTGGTGATAAAACTTGGAACAGAACCGAAACCCTAACAATGAGATTGCGAGGGACCATCAGTTAAACTCCTCCATTTATTTCCTAAATTAGAAAAGCTGAACAAGTGATGAGGGGGAGCTAGAAGGATTGGTGATGCTGATGAGAACAGGTGAGGAGGAGGAGGAGGAGGACAGGTGATGAAGAGGAGCTGAGGCAGCCTAACTTTCCTCCTCTCTCTCTTTCTCAGCCGCTTCAGCTTGAAATGTTGCAGATGAAACTGTTCAGATCAGCTCTCTAAAGGCTCGCAGCTCTAAGGTCTCCTGTCTGCCGCTCCTCTGCACCTTTTCTCCACCATTTGTCCTCTAATTTCCCTCAACATCCTGCTGGAGGCTCCGGGTTTTATAATTCGCGCTGTCGAGAGGGATTAAAACGCGTTTTTGTTGTTTTTTTTGGAAAAAAAGTGAGCAGCTGGATTCCTGCAGTTTTTTTTTTCTAATGGTTTTCGCACTTTAATGAAACCCGTCCGGCGATGGTTTGGATATTCTCTGCGGGTAATTTCCCTCAGCGCTCCTCAGACTGAACGTAGACCAAACTTTGTTTCTGTCAGTATTTCTCCGGATTATTTATCAGTTTTTTAATGGATCTCACAGATGAACCCAGATCCACTTTCTTCTGATTTGTTTTGATTGGATCTCATCAGCTGGGTCGGAAATGTGACCCGCGGACAGAAACAGCACCCAATAGGCTATTTAATCGGATTTTAGTTATTTCAGTGTGAATCACTTTTTAATCACCTACTTCATGGTTTCGTTGAAAAACAATCTGCTTCCAGAGTACCTGATTAACTCTAATTCCTAAAAAAATAAAAGTGCCTTAAATCCCAACAATTATTTACATATTCAATTACCCAATTCTGTTTTTTTTTTTTTTTCTATTAAAACAACTCTAAAATGTTTCTCATGTCCTTAAGAATGTCAGACATGTACTGATAATCCGAGGGACCCTTTACTGGCTGTTTAAAAGACACCAGAAACAATAGCTGCAGAGATTTCTGGAATATTTGCAAAATAAATGGATTTAGACCAGGAAGGATTAGGTACCCTAAAGGAACCACTGCCAAGCCAGTATAATGCTCTGAATACCTTTGAAAAGATGTAGCAGCTTTGAAAGGGAGGATTTTATTCAGAAACTCTGAAGTTTGTTGAAATCTTTGAGAATCTGGAGTTCCAAAGACTTTTGACTGAAAGAAACACTTGGAAAGCTACCAGAAGTAATTTGTATCCCAGATATTCCAGGGAGGAACATTTGCACTTTTAAATTACATAGAAAAGCCTCCAACACTTTACAAATATGTAAGGCTGAGGCAGAGATATAGTACATTGTGAGCACGCTAACACTTTATTCCCAAATATATCATAAAGGACCTTGAATATCCCAAAGAGGTCAAGGTGCAGTGAAGCCCTTTGAGCTCCTGATCTGTAGTCCTCCTTGGATTACCTGAAGGACCGATGGGAACCCTGCGGGACCTGCAGTACGCTCTGCAGGAGAAGATCGAGGAGCTACGGCAACGTGACGCCCTGATTGATGAGCTGGAGCTGGAGCTTGACCAGAAAGACGAGCTGATCCAGAGGCTGCAGAACGAGCTGGACAAGTACCGCTCAGTGATACGACCCGCCACAGCCCAACAGGTCCAGGCCCAGCAACAGAAATTGGTTCTGCAGCCAGATCAGCAACGCAGCAAGAGGCAGGCCATCTCTGCAGAACCCACGGCCTTTGATATCAGCGAGCTGTGCCACGTCACATTGCCCTTCTACCCCAAGAGCCCACAGTAGGTCCTTTGCTTTCTGCTGCAAAAGTTCTAACGCAAGACGAGATGTTCCTTTATTCTGCATGTTCTGCTGGGTTCTGCTTTCTGCAGGAGGTTAAACCCCCAAAACCTGCAAAAAAAATCAAATAACTTAGTTAAAACATCTTGCATGACACATTATTTGTAAGGTTTGAGCCTATGTGAAACTTGCAGAGCATTCTATATGCTACAGCAAGTTCACATGGAAAGAAAGACAACTAGAAGAAATGTATTGATACAATTACTTAATCTTTGGCGCTCAGACCTTGGCAGGAAACATAGCGCTGAATTTTGATTGATATGCATGAACAGGAGTAAAGAATAGGGCTGTTTCCCCCCAGGCCTGAAACTGGTGCGGAGTGGAGATAGATGAAGTTGGTCAGTCTGTAGACTACTGGTTAGCGAGACGGTATGCTGAGCTTTATGCAGAGGTCTAGTGGACAGAGTGAGCTGATACTAGAGCTTCAAGGATGGAAGTCCAGTTTTGATAACACAGGTTGAGAGAACTTGTCCATGATGAGCTAGCATGAAGCGACAGTGCGGAGGAAAAACTCCCCATTGGGAAGAAAACTCTGGCAGAACCAGACTCAACATGGCGGTCTTCTGCCGGATCGTAAGGATACTGCTGGATAGCAAGAGTCCAGAAGTAATGAAACTCTGATGAAGTTATAGCTACGATGGTAGAGGAGGGGCTAGAGGCGGTTGAAGTAGGTCATCTGAATGAAGTCACACAGCGCATCCACCGCCTGCGCACTAGATAGCAGAAAAGTTGTGGATCTGAGGCCTTTTGAGATGAAGTTTGGATGCTGATTGGCTGTCGTGGAGGCGCGGTTTAAAGCTGATTGGCTGTGTCGTAGGCAAATGAAGGCGAGGAATCAGTTTATTCAGTTGAACTTCAGCCTAGGCTCCATTTAAAAATAATGAAAATAACTTCCTGCAGAAAACCAAAGGCTTGGCTTCTCAGGTGATCTGCATAGGTTCTGTCATTTCTGCAGCTTTAAGGTCCTGTTGAACCTGGGAACATAATGCAGGATCAACAGAACCGGACCATTTGACGGAAAATAACCACCTGTAAAACTTGAGAAAGTTGTAAAGCTGTTTCTCCAGCATTTAAGGAGATGAGTCTGCCTCTTTCTCTGCAAATAAAAGTAAATGTTTCCTGAATAAAGAAAAGGTCCAGGGCATGTCTGTGTCAGATGAGTCAGTGCCAGGGGTCTGTAATAACGAGTGAAATCTTTGTGATCTGTTTGAGGCCTGCAGCTGCTCATTAGCTCATTAGGAATGAGTTCTAATGGATCTGCTCTGTTCTGCATTAATGAAGCTCTTCAGCTCTGTTTGGGCTCTTGCTGTCTGATCAGCAGCAGATAATGCAATGAATTGAACATAGTGTACACGGTTATTAGATAGCCTGTATTGGTCAGGAATCGCTGCTGGATTGTACCACATGATGACAGAGGTCAGGAAACAGATCTGTTGCTGGGTGTTCTCATTAAACACATGTATACATTTGCATCTCCTGCTCAGGTGTCCCTTGTGTTTTTCGAGGCTGCAGACATACAGAGATCCTACAACCTGTTCCTCAGGGCCTGAGCAAAGTTTATGCCAGATGCACCCTGTGTTTCTGCAAATTCAATGTTTTTTTTCTGTATTTCTCCTAAAATTATCTGCTACATTGGCATTCATGCTTATTAAGCCTATTTTGCCATATTATGACTATTAGTGTGCAGATCAATACAAAATAATGACACCAAGTTGGTATATCATTTACATGCTATTGTTGTGAGATCTATACTTTATATTCAATTTAACTCTTTTATACTCTACAGATGTTTTGTCTACCCTGTTTTTTTACTTTTTTATTTTAGAAAATTCTAAAAAAAATTCCTGCAGTGGTTGGATGAAACTTGGTTTTGCTTATGTATAGTAAATACAAATTAGTTCAGTTTTTTTTTTAACCTGTTAATCAAGTTAATATCATACGCAATTATTCACCTATAAACTTTGTAAAGGAAAAAAAAAAAATCTATTTTTAATGGGCAAAAGTTTAATGATATAACAGACTTAAAGACTGAAAAGTGTTAATATTTTTATCAGTACTTGCCATTATATTAGACCAATACCAAAATAAGCAGTATTACACACCTCTGTTGAGGGCATATTGATGTTCTCTGTCTACTGGAGGAGATCTGAAACTGTTCCACGTAAAGACTTGTGGGTTTTCCCTCAAGCAAAGTAAACTGGAACTATAGCAAATCGCTGAGAGATGCTGTTGTCCTGATCTCTGATCTTTTTTTCTCAGAACAGCTGCACATTAAAGGGGAAAATATCTGTTTCAATTAATTTCTAAAATGGAACGTTTATTTTAACAAAGAATTAAGGAGTTAGACAAGTATTCCCTTTTATTAAACAAAAACCTGCCTTTAGTAGATGTATCTTAAACTCAAAAGTTACATAAAACCAAGTGGTTCAGGTTCACACACCAAAAAGTGTTAGAGTTTTTAATTTTTATTAATCAAAGGAGCAGCTAAAATAAGACATGTAAAACTACTCCCACAAATTGACCACCATGGCTAAATGATTTGTGCTCTCCTGAATAAATCTTTGCCCATGTTCCCAGGATAAACCTCCATGTATTTCTGATTCTTTTATTGATCCATGGAAATGAGGAGAAAGATATTTGTGCAGTAAGAAACACGGAGCAAGCTCAAATTAGCTTTCCCTTAAAATAGACATCACATCCTGGGCTGTGAATAGGATTTATTGTTAATGCAACTGATTTCCTCCTGTCCATTTTTTTTACTTTTTCTTTAGTTATATCAATTTTCCAAGGGTCATTGAGCTGAAAGTCCTTTGATAAAACAGCCATGTTTCGGTTCCTTAGCTACAGAATATAGATTTTCCTGAATACTCAAGAGGCAAGGAAGTCTCCAGAACAGAATCTGTACCTACAGTAGTAGATTATAGGATGCATGAATCAAAGAGATACATTCTAAAATGTTTTTCTTTTTTATATTTATTATTATCTGAGAGAATTGTATTATTGAATAATTACTATCCATGCAGGATAATTAATAATTATCCTAAAACTAACCACATAATAATTATTTTGGTTAGTTTTCATTTTTAGGTCTGAGACTGCTAACAGATGTCTACATGAAGCCAGGAAGGAATAAATGGTGGCAGAGGCTAAGCTCTATTCCAGACCAGCATCACAGGAAGCTGAACAGCTGCCTTCCACTAACAGCTCTATAGCTGCACTGGTCCGTACGCTCCTTGTCGTGTATGATAATTGTGCTTCATGCAGACTTATTACCGTTGTTACAAATATGAATTACGCTCCTTCCGCATGCGATCCAGGAAGTGCTTGGTTATCAACACGACTCCATATGTCCGTTTTGGGAGCTGCTCACAATCTCAGAGAGCTCAGCGCTCAGGGAAACGGTCTGCAGCGTCGGGCCATCAGCATTCATGTGGTGCACTTATAGCAGAAAGTTAGGTTTCAGCTACAGAATTAGCTGCGCTACACGTGAGAAACAAGATGCTTAGTGTCTTGACAAATAAATAAAATATTATGAGGGCAGGGTTTAGTGTTTGGGGTGGCCGCATAAAGAAGAGCTGCCCAATATGCTAAATTACAATTTCTGCAATGTTGCACCCTAAAAGAAGAGCTAAGATAAAATATTTAACAGACTGATATTTCTGAGTGAGTAAATGGATGATTGTAATTTGGCTTCAGTTATGTCTGTGGGTGTCTGTATGCGTGTGTGTAAATGCCCACAGTTGTCCTGTCTGATGGACCTAAGCAGTCAGATGGGATTATTTATGAGCTTTTTTTGACAATCTGCTGGGATCAGCTAATCAGTGTTAAAAGATTCTTTAGAAGTCAGTGTGCGTTCATCAGAATGGGTCACTCTGAGCAGAGATATGTCTCTTTTTTGGGCTCCCTTTGACTCTTTACAGGCTGTTAACGGACGTTTTTTTGCATGTGGCACATTGAACAACCAGCGTGTTTTTATCTTCCCACACAGAGAGGCAGCTGACAGGGTTTGCTTCCCATCTCCTCTTCACGTCTGCAGCCCGCCTGCATGTGTCTGTGTGTTATATGAAAATATAAAGTAATGGAGAAGAGTGCGTGTGGGCTGTGGACTCCCACCAGCTCACTCGGTGTCTGCAGACAAGTTAATGATCCACTGAAAATGCCCTTGATACAGAGATTTTAAATTGTACAGTTTAAAATCAAAACTACATTAGATCCACATCAGGAAGGGACCTGATAGAGCAATAAAGCTGCAATCAGATGTGGGAAGCAGAAGGTTTGCATATTGTGCTGGTAAACCTCATGAGTCCATGATAATAGCTGCTGTGGTTCTCACAGCTATAGAAAATCCCCTAGATACTAGGAGAAACACTGACTTCCATTTTTAAACATGAAGCTTTAGAGGAACTGCTGATCTTACAAAGACAGCAAAAGATATCATCCAATCTCTGTTTTACTTTAAAAACTTTTTTTTCCTCTCACAAAGTTCTACTTTAAAGAGTTGTAAAATTTATTCCTTTTCCTTTTCTTTAAGATATGGTCTTCTGCTTCTCTATTCAGTCCAAATTAGGTTCAGCTTTGGTAAAGAGGACATCCCGGATTATTGTTCCATAAAACTCTAAAGTGAGCCTGTCCCCATCAAAAGCTTTTGAACAACAGCTATACTACATGAGTGCTTCCACATTGGATCACAAGCTGCCCTTAAACCTTCAGCATAAAAAGACACAAACCCATGTAATTCCTTATTTTTTTAATATTCATTTATTGAAAATAATTAAAATCTTAATAATTGACTTTTAATGAATGAATGTTAGTGAACTTTCTCTTTTTAAAGATGCTTTTTCATGCTCATTTTGTAAATCAAATTGGAGGCTATAGAACATATCTATACTGAACATGATATACAGACAGCAAATTCTTCAAAGGTATAATAATTTAAAAAAAC